TTTTTTAACAGAACCTTGAATAATACATGCAAAAATTTTCAGAGCTAATTTACTGATTTAGAAAGTGTTATCATTCTCTAGAATTTTTTTTTTGGCTCCAGAAATTACTTTTTTTAAGTGTTTATTTATTTATTTATAAAGGGAGAGAGAGTGTGTGTGAGCAGGGGAGAGGCAGAGAGAGGCAGAGAGAGAATCCCACACAGGCTCCATGCTGCCAGTACAGAATGTGATCTCACGAACTGTGAGATCATGACCTGAGACAAAATCAAGAGTGGGAGGTTTTAACCGACTGAGCCACCCAGGTGCCCCTCCAGAGATAACTTTTGCTCATGGTAAGAGGGAGGCTGTTAAGATGATGATGAATCCCTTAATCTATTCACTGATTATCTATTTACCTAACTAATTTAGTAGATTAGAAATTTGGCTCTAATCTTGTGATGACATAGCATTTCTAGTTCATGCCTTCTCCAAAGGTGAAGTCCTGTAAAGGTCCCACTTAAAAGCTTGACTATAAGGGTGCCACCTTCTTTGTGGTCCTTGGACCCTAATTTTGCCCCTAAACAGGTGTCCTTCACTTCTGAGCTTCCTAACTACCCCTTTCTGCTCAATTTCTCTGCCTCTCAGTGGCCACTTACAAATCAGAAACACCTTGAGTGAAAACTAGAATTAAAAATCAGGTTCACGCTTTGTACTTCTCTTTTCCTGGGGATTTTGCTTTTTCAGGTTCTCATGACCTGGCCAGCTTTCTATATAGCCTTCAAACCAATAGGTTTTATATTCTATCCTTTTTTTTTTTTTTTTTTTTTTTTAGTTGTTCTTAGAAGGTGGGTGTGTCTGGAACAGTCTTCTCTACCATTACTAAAAATTAAAATTCCTGCAGTTTGAGTTATTTTGAAACATATAACATTTTTACTCCTATAACACAAAAAGGGCACACCTGCTGCAGCTGAAGACTTTCCAGACAAAGAGGCCTTCCCTTGAAACTAAAAAACAACAGTCAGATGCACTAATAATACTAGGCGTAAAACAAGAAATGTGAACAATAGGAAACAGGGATTGCAAACTGTTTGCCTAGAATATTCTTCAGCATTTGACAGGAAACCGAAAATCATCAGAAATTACCAAAATCATAATTCTAATTAGGGCCTTGAAAGTAGAGAGAACCCAGGGATGGTGTGTTTGATGCTCGCTTTTCTCTTTTTTTTAATGCAGAAATGTCAAATTAGAGCTAAAAACTGGAGTATATTTAAAATGTTGATATTTAACAAATTAGCATTTTAACTCACAGATTTCTATGCAAAATTATCATGTAATTTACACAATAATTATAATATTTCTAGACTATTACAGTGCTGCATAATAAGCTAGACAAATTAGAGCAGTTTGAGGAACTTATTTTTCTTTCAAATACTTGCCGTTTATCTCTGTGACTGTGTGCTTATCTTCTTTTGGAGATAATGTTAAGAGTCTAAAAAGCAAGGCTGTGGACAAATGTACTCCCTTACTCTGCCACTCTAATGGTCTCTGCTTGAACCATCCTCTCTCTCACTCTAAGTAAATCAACTGTTCAGTGTCATATCATAGGCAATATTATATATCCATGACAGAGCTAATCACCAAAATACATGATAAGAATAGTAGTTCTAGGTTCCCAGTGGGTGACAGAACAACTCTGTCAATTTTCGAAGGGAAATACTACATATACAATCTTTCATCCCAAACACAACACACAGTTTATCTCCCCTTTTTGTTTTTGATAATATCATTTTTTTTCCTTAATGGATTCTTACAGTAGTCCTAAGACCTTAATATTTCTTGACAGTTGGCCTTGTTGTCATTTTGCAACCTGGATTACTGTTCATCTTTTTAAGAGCCTGGGTTTTCAACGCTAGTGTGTTTGAAATAGTTTTGAGGTTTTGTGGTTGCTGTTGACGCTCTTACGGAACTTCGAACACACCAGTTTCCTTTTGGTTTAGTGAACTGGCTGGGCCTTTCGAATGCACTCAGTCCGTGGAAGTGCCCAAGCAGACTTATTACTAGAAAAGAATCCCATCTGGAATTCAGACAGGTGGCCCATCTCAGTACCTCCCTGAGAAGTCTGGCTTTTTCAGGTAAGTGCGGAAGACCTGGAGTGGGGCGCTCATGAATGAAGGTTATGCGTGAAGAGAACATACTGAACTTACCATTGAAGTTCTAATTCAGAATCTTCAGTCTCGCTGTACAAAGCAAGCTTATTTCCTCTTGATCACAATTCCTCCTTTAGAAAAGGAATTGTCCAGTTCTTGCCATGTAGTA